TGATGGTAAGAAATAGAAGGATTTTTTAATATCTTAGACAACGCTTGGATAACATTGTAAGTCGAATCAAAACATACGTATGCAAAGTTATGTTTTCTTTGTATCCGAATGTTTTCATTCATTTTGAGTATTTAGCGTTGTGTCTTAGATCTTTTCGTTTTGTTAACCAGGGTATGTCCGAAGTACTTGTCCCGCAGTAGATTTCTTAATTTGGTTTCAGCATTTTGTCGCGTTCATTACTTGCAGTTTGAATGCCACACTGATCTTGAGATATGTAGAACAAATTAATTCAGTTCGTAATTCTTCACCACTAGCTTTGGGCTCAAGTACAAGTCGTATTGTGTTATTATCTGCAATAGCATCCCCAAAATTAAATTCTTAAGGAAAAAATAAGAAAAACAATAAGCCGATCCCTGTAGGCTAGTCCCAAAAGAAAAGCAACACAAAAAGACTCCAATTGCCTCCCCAAAATAATTTTGAAACACAAAAAGCGACATATAATTCATGAAATTAATTAACAGTCTTAATGATTATTCAAACCAATCATGTTCTCCTGAAATCACTAAATTTTACAACAATTTCAACTACATACACTGACATATAAGCATGAGCGGTGCTTACGCACAAATAATTAACCCAAAAAAAAAAAAAAACAGCATCATCGAGGGAGGGAGCAACCAACGGTGGCGACAATGACAGCAGTAAAGCACGATCGGGTGATTATGTGCAAATCAATGGAGAGTGAATATCACTACGCTCATGTAAGAAACAGATTATTTTCCGTAGCAGATTTTGATGTTAATGAAATATTTTATCGTTGTTATTTGAGTCAACAGAATTACACGAAATTAATGTCTCAAATAACAAGCTACCACATATAATGACTATTGCAGTCGCTGATTATGAATAGTAATATTCCAAAATGATTATTACGACATGAGCCAAAAAATTGTCTTAGCCCAAATGAAGGGATTTTTCTTAAGTGGGTTTGGCAACATATATTTGCTGCTGGCAAATGAAGGTTCACTTTACAGCAGCGTACAGAAGTTCAGCATATTTATAGCATGTTTGGATTAGCTAAACTTATGAGTAGATAAAAATGAGGATCAACCCAAAAGTGAACTTAATAACAATAGTGGAAAGGAAAAAGATGACGCTGCACACTCAAAAGTTCCAATTCTGAATCAATGCCCCCCAGAGAGAAGGGAATTCAATGAAACAGCACCACATGAACTTAAACTGTTTTAAGAACAGGTTACCTACAATTCAACAGTTTGATATTTCATAATAATACTTGGAAAATAAAACTTGATTATGACCAAAAACCAGAATCTAAGATACAAAATACAGATATCTGCATGATCTGAACCAGTAAATGGGAAATATAACAAGAAACTTCTGCTTGATCCTCGGAAACTTGTAGATTACGTATTTACTCCAAACATGAAACCATTGCTGTAGGAGGGAAGATTGTTGAAAGGCCCATAATTCCTCACTGGAGAACGGAAAGGGTTTGGTGTCACGGGATAGCTAATATAAAGGCCAGCAGCGAGAAGCACTTGCTTTGCATTAGAGCACGAGAGTTCAGACTCTTCCGTGAAAAAAGCTGGAATATCCCGAGACTTTATCGAGTCAAGGGCTCCACCCCAACTTGAATAGGTCTCTAATCCACTATTTAAAGCCACAATTAGATGGGGAGTAGGAAGGTAGGTGGCCTCCTCCTGATAAACACCTCGTATTAGATTTACCCTCACTCGGCTACTTATTCCGGAAGTTGTCCCGGACAAAGTTGTTGGGACTCCAGGCCCCACCATAATTATCTGTATATTGCCAACACCATTGAGTAAATGACCAATTTCAGCAAATGCTGGAATCCAATCCAGTTCCCCTTCTGGTCCAAGGTAATGAAGGATCACCTCTTTGCCTTTCAGTAAAAGATTTTTAGAACTGATGTTAAGTGCGGTCAGTATATGATATAATGTCAGGGGGTGAGAAAGAATGTCAGCCACAGGGCTCGAGAGTAGCAGCGAGCGAAGGCTATAGTACTCAAACCAACCAGAAAGAAGAATTGGGCTCGACAGTCCATCCCTTAGATTGTTGTTGAAAGGTGAATCATTAGGATATTCGCCATCATCTAGGCTACCCCATGAATCCCAAAGTCCACCTTTAACGGGAAGTAGGCCGAATGGACAGTGAGAATAACAACGGCATTTCCTTCTCCACATGCCTTTTCGGTGGATTCCCAGTGATTCGAGCCATTTGCAGGGTTGTTCGACTGAACAATCAAACGTGAAGATCTTCATTGCCAACTCCTCTTCTCTTTCCATCATCGCCTTGTAAAGTCCACACATGTCCTCGTGTGCTACATTCCAGTGCTGCTGCTGGCAGAGAGAAGTGCAGTAAGTTACGGCACGACAACGTCCACAACAGAGTGATTGCTCCTGTTCAATCTCTTTTTCGCACATTGAGCATTGCCTCAAGCTAATCATTGAATTTACTTCTACTTCAGAAAATGTCTCCTCTCGCGGTGATTCTGAATGTTTTGTGGGAGTTGAGCCTCTTGAACTATACTTATCCTCATATCCTCTTGAACTATTCTTTTCCTCGTACCCTTGACCTGGAGGGTGTGAGATAGTAACTGCAACAAGATCATTCCCTTGGGCCATTTCTGCAGGCCATTGAATATCAACTGTTTCAATAAATGGCTGAAAGTACATCAATCTAGACCACTTTGGACCTGTGTCAAAATCTTGTTGAAGCAGGGGGTGCAGTAACAAAATCGCCCTCATAACTGCGTACACAAATCTAAGCTCTTCAAGTGTAGGATTTCTAAATTGAATCTCACCAGACTCTGTACATCGAGCAACATCAATAACTGGAAACCGATTTCCACCAGACACCTCTAAAGACAACGATTTGATCATTCTCTTGTTGGAAGGAAACATCACAGATTCCACCTCGTAAGTCACTCTCAGAAGCTCTACATTCGGAACCCTAATCGTCTCCCTCGATCCTGTCATTTTCTTTGCATCAATTTCAGACCTAAACATGTGAAACCCTAAATCTCCACCATCTCCCCCAATAAATTGAATGCATGGAAATGGCTGTTTTCTACCATACCAATCTGAATCCTTTCCTGCCTTAACACCAAAAAGATGGCCCGGGCGCAACCGCCTCCACGGATCAGTCCTATACAGGGCTGCCGCAGCTTTATATAGTGACTTAATGAAAGTTGGCGAAATGCCATTCACCTTCATAAGGCATGCTCCGGATCCAGGACCAAGTCCTGGGCCAGATCCGAATTGTTCTTGAAATCTAGAGAACAAATTCTTTAAATGCACATCCATATTCACTTACATATAAGATTTGCAGCACTCAAAGATTGTTTATATGATCCTTTCTTCCCTAATTTGCTTTCCAGTAAAAAAAAAAACCCTCCAAAAAAATCCGAAGTATAAACTAAAAAGCTGACTGTCAAATTCTCAAGCCGTAATAACCAGAGGAAAAGAACAATTTACCAGTAAATAATAAGGAAATGTTTACATGTATTATATGTGTGAGTTCATACGTCTGTTTCAGATGAGAATCCAAAGTGCAATTCAGCTGTCTGAAAGGAGGCAGTGGTCAAACCGAGTCCAGATCTACCGATAAGGATTGGAAAGATGTTTGCTCTACATCATGTACTTATAAGTAATTTTTTTTTAAAAATAAATTGATCATTTTCTATTTTAAACAAAATGGAATATATATTTTTATGCAAGAAAGCCCCTGCTGGGTAAGCATTAAAATTTTCGTTCTCATTTTTTATTCATTTTCAATAAAATAATATTTTCCATCATATCAATAACTTTTCATTCTTTTTCAATCACAAGTTCTCCATCAATCTACTATTTCA